TGCTTGCGAGTCGAGTTCAATGCTGAATTGGTCCATATTAGACGAAGTGGTTCTGGTTGCGGAATTCGTATGTGAAGTATTATTTTTATTATTTCTTTGATTTTTACGAGCGTTGCACCAATTTTTGAAAAATTTTATCAGAACATACCCTATGAATAAGCTTAATAAGCGAATTTTTTATGATCATCTCAGTTTATCGCAAAAATATCATGTACCTACTTTTTTAAAAACATATATATAAAGAGAGTCGAACTTTTGCTATACATACTGACGAAAATAAGATTTTGAATCAAAATCAGTTTCCAAATTCATTCCTGTATGAGTACAGACGGTTTTAGCATGCCGAACTGTAGCGCACTACCAAACAAGACCTTACATGGGACGAGTCCTATGTAGAAGCATTTCGGTTTTAGCATGCCGAAATGTGAGCTCGTTTTGGCCAGTGCCTCATTCAAGAATCCTTTCTCTTTCCTTTTTTTTGTATAATGCCTCGTATAAGTACAGTCGGTTTTAGCATGCCGAACTGTAGCGCACTACCAAACAAGACCTTACATGGGACGAGTCCTATGTAGAAGCATTCCGGTTTTAGCATGCCTAAATGTGAGCTCGTTCTGGCCAGTGCCTCATACGAGAATTCTATGAATCTGCCAAAATTTTAAGTAGGTAACAATTGAATTTCAATATCATCCCAAGAAATAAGAGTTGAATAAGAAAATAATATTCAATAGTGTGCGATAATAATCCGAATAAATATTTTTTTTTCAAAATTGATTTCCGTACTAATTCAACTTTCGTTAGTATGAATGATCGGTATGAACATATTGACTATAACCTCTTATATACCGAATGAATTTTGAAATTGATTTATGCAAGTCGCAACATTTCTACACTGTGGTCTCGTTTTCAAAGACTGATTTCAAGGAAGGAAGACGTATAATAATTATACAATTGTTATTATATTCACTACTTTTAGTGCTACTTCATCGATAGATTTGATTTTGGAGAAGGAATAATGAAATATAGGTTTCCAAAAATATTCGGGTTTTTTTTCAAGTACTTATAGAGGATGATCAGCAAAAGGATCACGAACCAGTGGAATATTGGCATAGTTTGAAGAAGAATAAATTGCAAATGATATAATACTTTATATTATATAAAATAATGAATTTGTGACAACACGTTATCAGTTTTGTCTAGTAAGCTGCAAAATAAAGTCGTGGAATAAATCCTGGACCTAGCCCAACACTAGGGTTCACTGAAACTAGTATCGCGATAAAATGTATGTATGCATTTATTAAAGAGCTGTTTGATTACTTGACGGAGAAATATTTCGAATTCTTCGAATATTTCGACCCCAAATTTCCGGATTATATGGATGATTTTTCCAAATAATGGTGAGTTCAGCTCCGCAGAATTTGAAGAAATATTCACTTATTCAAATAAATGACGTGTCGTAGAAAATATATTGGTGAATTCGGACTAAAATTATTCGGGGTGCACAATCAACATTTTGTCGAATTTAGCGCCAAAAATTATTTGGAAATGCTTCCTCATTTCCACTGTTTCGTTCGGCTTCATAAGGTCATCAGAGTAACAAGAGAAATTTCAGGTAATCGCAAAAAATTTAATCAGAATTAACTAGTAAGTATTCGAAAAAAGAGAAAGAGAACATATATCTAGAAAGATGCAAAATGTAGAAAAGAGCACGTTAAAAAATAGAAACATCATCAAATACCACTATAGTTGACCGATGATTCTATTAATCACTTTGCGCCTATATTTGAAATCTGAAAAAATATTTGAGGTCATTCTGTTTCGATTTGGAATTGGTGTGAAGTATCTCGCTGTTGATCGAATTGCAACACATAAAAACTTACTTCAACTAAAATCAGGTTAATTAGGAAGAATTAACATTCAAGAAAGAGCAGGGCGCCTCCACCATAATGTCACGAGTGGCTCTAACGCCCACTATCGCAACTCGGACTTACTCGCTTGCAAGAGGTTTTTTTGAAAATGATAACTAAATAAATTAACTCCACTTCACAAGTTTATTCATTCTGAATACAAACAATTAGGGCAGGAAATAAATTGACCATTAATTATCCAGCAAGATACATCCAACTCAAATCGAAACAAAACAGGAAAACTAAAACTAGTAATACTCAAAAAAGGTACTTACAGAAGGGCTCGCTTTTCGTTAGAGGATTGGAACTGCCACTCACGAAGTTTAGACATGATGCAAATAAGTTTGAGATTTACTTCTATCAGGAGATTTGAAAAGACTTTACGGTCCACTGTCCGAACCACAACTGCCGGTTTTTTCTCTAATACTTTTTCATCTTGGTTTTGGTAGTGGTAATTGATTCAGCATAAAAACTAGTGTATTCACCTCGATTAGGAAAAATCCAAAACCAGCAGTTTCTGCCCGTCAGCGACTTTACTTGAATAATAATAAAATTGAAATCCGAACTATAATTTCCTTTGAATATCGTAATTCTCCACTGATATCCTGTAAGCTAAATATAATTCTGAGAATATGATCTAGACTAGGTTATTGTACTGTTCTTGAATGAAATGAGAATTTCAAATATTCCCAATAAAATTATAGTTTTTATCCATTCTTGACAATATAACTTTTGGAATAGATTATTTTGGCAACTTGATTTTCTGTATCTTTCAATTTAGTATTCATTGAATTCGAAATAGGAAATCCCAGACTTTTTCGTCGGCTATAAGTATTAACGAGACCTCTTCAAAAATATTTGATTAATATTTCAAAAAAATATACTTTTGGCAACTTGATTTTTTTTTATCTTCTGATTTTGTATTCATTGAATTCGAAATCAAAAACACAGACGTTTGTGTCGGTTATAGAGTATCACTAGACCTCTTCAAAAATATTCTATCAAAATTCGAAAAAATATCCTTTTATCAATCTGATATTTCAATCACGTATCCATTGGAAAATTTCATTAATACAATATGCGAATCACCAGACGACATCTGAGATTCTTCATTTCAAACTCAATGAATACTTAATCCGAAGATGAAAATGAAATCGAGTTGTCAAAATCATATTTTTCTGGAGTTTCTTTATCGAATATCATAATGCTGCGCAGTAACGAAATAACTGCAAACGCTCTACCAGACTTGCGGGACTGGATTCGCCAATTGTCGAAATTGTATTTTTTCACAATATCAACTTGCCAAAAAAACCTTTCCAAAATTCGTCGCCAGCTCTTGGACTAGCTAACAACATTTTCATAGCCAGTTTTGCTTTTGAGATATGGTGCAAGATATTCCGTGTATCTCAGCTATCTTAGAAACTAATAGGCAAATGGAAAACTGCCTCTCACACATTTCTCACGTAGGACCTGGTGGTGTAGTTATATCTTCGAAAATGAGCAATTATTATTTATATTTCACCCAAAGTAATATTTATTTTTTGAACTCTGTATACTTCTTGATATTTGGAACGTCAATGCTTTTTGCTTTTCGAAAAAGCATAAAACTTTTACGATATCATAATGTATACTTTCCGTGTATTCACTGGTATTCAGATAATGGGCGTGTACACCTTAATAGAACTTTTAACTCAAATCATGTTTATAATGATCCTTTTATACATAAATAATGATTGACGACATAATTCGATCTGGAATGTTTTATTTTTGACATAAATAATAGTACCTTCTGAAAACGGACCCTCTTATGACGTAGAAACCTCATCTCGCCATAGTTGAAAGAAAATACCAAACGCCCGACGGAGACTGAGGCAAGTGATATATTAATTCTTTCAACTGTGATCTCGCGCTAATTCACTCTGTTAGAAATCATGTATCATTCATCTCTGACTGGAATTGTCTTGTTTCAGTATTAGGGTTTTGACGTCACATCATCGCCTCGTTTTCAGAGGTCCGAAAAATCGGGGATTTTAATAATTTTTTATAAAACGTAGGGAGCTCACAGCAAGAAACGGTTTGTGGGTGGTGAGCTAGTTTGGGTGAGTTCTATCGAATTATGGAATAAAAATTGTTTGTGATATAAGCCCATTCCGAGGACAATAATTCTAGGTTTCAAGAATAGACACTGAATATATGTGGTATCATTTTCCACATTACGAATTTTCATGTTTACCTTGTTGCTGACACAGTGTTTTGTAACACACTAGGTTCAATTTCACCATCATTTGACATTAGTAATATTCAGCACTATACAGGGTTGGGCTGAATGATGACACCAAGTTGATACCTTTGAAGCGAAAAAGACGAGGTGATGTATCAGATGAGATTGTTTCTCTTAATTAGGTACTTCCGGTTCATCTAATACATGCAAGGTAACGAATTTTGAGCCATCGAAAATGTTTCTAGTGCAGTAATTATTCTCAGAAAAATCGACTTATCTCGAAAACCGTGATACAAAATTTCACCTTATTCGGGTTGTCTAAACACAGAATGAGAAGGCCAATCGAACCATATGAAAAAATTGTAGGTTTCCTTTGAGAATGAAAAGTTGGTGCCGCCCTTTGGCACACCCTGTATAGCTGGAGGAATAAAAATAGTTCATGTAGATTGGGAATGACCAATTATGACAGCATATCAATTTTCAAGTTTTCATTCCAACTGCGAATTGGAAAACATTTGAAGTGTTTCCTGAGTGAATCACCCTGAATTATTTCTACAAAACCCATCATGTACGAATTCAAAATATCGAGATCTATTGAAATTTGCGAAGAATACAGGATGTCTCATCAAAACAGTTGAGTGTATTTCCGGTTAAAGCGGAAGTACATTATCAACAAAAACCATCCCATCAGATGCATCTTGTCATTGTTCTTGACTGAAAACTTTCATATTTTTTGTTCTTTTCATTTCGAAGATATATTTACTCCATATTCCATATTTTATCCCAACCCTGTATATTGACAATAAAAGCTGTGGATCAAATAGGTAGATGGCTCCCGAACTATGCTGTGTGGTTGATATTTATTTTTGTTTCAGGTATTTCGGAAGTTATCAATTTCTGAAACCATCCCTTTTTGTGCGAGATCTCGACCTAATCAAACAAATTACTGTGAAAGATTTCGAGTATTTTACGGATCATTTCTCCTTTGTTAATAAGAACTCGGATCCCATTGTGGGTCAGAATCTTTTCTCATTGGAGGGTGAAACATGGAGACATATGCGGTCAACTTTATCACCTGCGTTCACTAGTTCGAAGATGAAATCGATGTATTTCCTGATAGAAGGTACTGATATATTATACAAAATGATTGATGAGAGATCGAACATAGTCGAATCTGATATAAAGAAAATCGAGATAAATTTTTATATTTATGTCATAATTATTTTATGGAGATTAGGTATATGGAGGACTGGAACCTTTGGCACGATAATACACGACACACTGTTTTACCACTAACCAAACCGATTTTTTACACCTTGACACGTGTTTCGCTAACTATGTTAGCATCTTCAGGAGAAGATTGAAACTGTCTTTTCCTGATCTTCTTTTGATCTTCACCTGAAGATGCTGACACAGTTAGCGAAACACGTGTCGAGGTATAAAAAATCGCTTTGATTAGTGCTAAAACAGTGTGTAGTGTATGGAGATCAGGGTATTATGTGGATTCAGCGTCAAACTGATGATCATAGGAACTGTATCTCAATTGGTAAATGAGTGGAATGATGAAGTTAGTTTTTTGGCCCTGGAATTATTAGCAACCGTCAGAACATTGTTAGGGATAATGGCCTTATTGCATGCTACCGAGTTTTCTTGAGGTTGCGCCTAATTATTATTATGACTTATAAGGACCTCTGGAAAGTTGAAAAAATGTTGCCCTGAGAATCGAGAGTAGAGTTGCTCCAGAACAATGTTGAATTTTTCATCAGCTATGATTCACCATTAGCGTCCAATGGAAAAAATCTGTAGTGTTCCATATCAGTGGATATGAGAAAAATAACACCCAGTGTAGCTGAGTCCCCTTCATTGATATGGACTGTTTATATTGCCGATAGAGAAGTGCTCATCTGATTTCGCATAGCTGGGTTTTGTTTCAACTGAGATAAAAAAAAATTTGCGAACTTCAACACCCCGTGTAATGAAAACAAGTTTTTCCACGACAAAACAAAAGAATACGTACCTAATATTTGAATGTTTGCTATGGATTGTCAGAGTTGAACCTGAGACACCATCTGTATAAATAAGTATAGAGGGTGTCTGTAAAAGGTTGGGACATAGCTCGGCTGTGGACTCTTGGGATAAACACAAGTTGATTCAGGCCAACTTACCTATATCCAAAATCGTCTCGTTGAGTTGGTACAAGGCGTTGAAGTTTTTTTGGAAAAAAATAATTTTGCTCATAAAAAGAGTAGGCTGAGATTGATTTTCATAATTTTTGGCATGGCATGTTCTGTGACTGTATGTCACGTTTTGAGATGTTTTTTTTCAGTAAGATATTCCCTTCAGAAATATTTTTTCTATCGTGTAAATATTTGATAAGTCTCGAGGTTCTCTGCAAATAAATAATTTCTGATATACTGCATCCTGCGCGTTTTTGAAAATTAATCTTATTTCTCAAAAGTTGTGGATTTTGCAAGTGAGCGTGGTATTTCAGAGATTTGATAGTGGAGACGAGACCGTTTATGTGGTTATATTCCCGAACTAGTGCAGTATTTCTAGTCTTTTCGAGGACGGTGTCAATAATTTGATCAGGGCGTCCGAATCTCATTTCCAAAGACTTGATTACTTGGTTCAAATTTTCTGGGCACATTAACATACTCATGAAGGGTAGAGATTCTTTTAAACTGGTATATGAATGTCGGCAACTGTTCGGGTCTACCGTCGAAGAAGGGAAAGTCTTTCTCTATGGTGTTTCTGTTCAGAAATTTCTCGGGCCTTGGCGTTGGAATTGTGGAACTTGTGGTCGCAACTTTTTTTAAAACTACTACTTTATGTATGGTTTGTCAACCTTCTATAGTAGACTCCTCCCAACCTTTTTCCTTCGATACGCCTATGTTCCACCATGATGTTATAGTTCATTCTTGACTTTTTCGATCAACCAGCTTGTCCAAATATGTAGTATTCTCCATAACAAAATATCATGTGAATGTTGGAGACTTGGCAACATTGTGCTGAATGCTGAGAACTGACAAGACTATGCCCACAAGTCGTGCGCTGTGGTTGTCACGTTCACCGATTCAAATGTCTTCTAGTGTGAATTGATATAATTTTTTTTCTCAGATGTCAGTTCGTTAAAGTTTTAGTTATATTATAGGGAGATGAAAATTGTATACATCATGAAGAATGGCTGAGAGAATAACTGGACTTCAGGTTACTGATGAGGATTTTGATATCCGAAATGAGTTTATTCGAGTGAAGTCATATAACCTGTTTGTGAGAGATATAATTCCAATATTAATTATTATTTTTTATTATTATTATTTGTGTAGGAGCTACAAACCTGATCACACAATCATAACAAATAACCTAAATGTATATTACCAGAACTGTAGGGGTTTGAATACCAAGTGTCATGAATTTTTCAGGAGATCCTTAGCTGAAAACTTTGATATTATTATAGCTGTGGAAACATGGTTGAAGGAGGGGGTACATGATGCGAAAGTTGTCGATATCCAAAAATATAATCTACTGAGGTCTGATAGAAATCTCCAATTCACAAATAAGAGTACGGGGGGAGGGGTGATGGTAGCGATAAAAAAAAGTATAAATTGGTAAGTATAACCAGTTACTGTAAATTCTTTGAAGCACTATCTGTCAATCTTAAGTTTGGCAAACAAAAATATACCTTCTGTCTACTATATATACCGCCAAAAAGCTCAGTTGAAGTATATGAGATAGCCTTCAATTTTATACAAGAACAAGTAACAAATATTGAGAACACGTATGTCTTCGGAGACTTTAATATTCAGGATATTACGAATATTTATACATTACCCAAAAATAATGAGAAAATAAATTTACTAAAAGATTTTCTGAACTCAAATGATTTTAAATTATTTAATGATATAACTAATTTTCAAGGCAGAATATTAGACTTAGTTGTAAGTTCAGAAAACAACACAGACCACTGTAAGGTCGAAAGAGAATTGTTGCCCTTCGTGAAAGAGGATCAGTATCACCCTACTTTGAGTATATCTATAGAAATTCCAAAGAAAAAATCAGAAAAATCTACGCAAGAAACGAATGAAGTTCGTTATAATTATAGGAATGCTGATTTTTTGAGCTTTAGTACACACATTAGGGACACCGACTGGTCTGTGGTGATCAACGAGCAAGATGTGAATAGGGCTTTAAAAAGATTTTACTTGAAGTGGAATGATATTGTGGAACAGTGTGTACCTAAATGCAAGGTAGGAACAGGCAAAAATAAAAAGTACCCGGTATGGTTTACAAAAGACATGAAAAAATTACTGCATGAAAAGGAACGTTATCATAAACTCAAGTCGTTATCAGACTACTATTTTAACAAATATAATGAAATAAGAAGAAAATCTGAAGAGTTAATTAAAAAAGAGGAAAAAGCGTATTTGATGAAAATGGAAGAAAATATAACGAATGATGTAAATTGCTTTTGGACATACGTTAAAAATAGGAAGGAAAATAGTATACTAAATAAATACTATCACGAAGGTAATGAAGTGCAAGATGAACAAGTATCTGAAACGTTCGCCAATTTTTTCTCCTCAGTATACTGCTCGCAGCAGGCTTCATATAATATTCAAGTTGAGGATTCAGTAACTTATTGCAATGAAACATTCATGATTCATTTATTAGACGAATCTGACTATAATGAAGCAGTAAAAAGACTCAAACCAAAAAAGTGTGCGGGAACAGATGGTATTCCTCCATATATTTTAAAGGGTGTCAGTGAATGGTTGAAGTTGCCACTTCTTCATATTTTCAATCTTATTATAAAGTCTAATAATTTTCCTGTACTCTGGAAAACTTCAATATGTATTACTATACATAAATCAAAAAATAAAATGGACATTGAGAATTATAGACCTATTTCAATTATGTGCGCTCCAGCCAAGCTGTTTGAAAAAATAGTATACTAAATAAATACTATTACGAAGGTAATGAAGTGCAAGATGAACAAGTATCTGAAACGTTCGCCAATTTTTTCTCCTCAGTATACTGCTCGCAGCAGGCTTCATATAATATTCAAGTTGAGGATTCAGTAACTTATTGCAATGAAACATTCATGATTCATTTATTAGACGAATCTGACTATAATGAAGCAGTAAAAAGACTCAAACCAAAAAAGTGTGCGGGAACAGATGGTATTCCTCCATATATTTTAAAGGGTGTCAGTGAATGGTTGAAGTTGCCACTTCTTCATATTTTCAATCTTATTATAAAGTCTAATAATTTTCCTGTACTCTGGAAAACTTCAATATGTATTACTATACATAAATCAAAAAATAAAATGGACATTGAGAATTATAGACCTATTTCAATTATGTGCGCTCCAGCCAAGCTGTTTGAAAAAATTTTCCATAGCAAATTGTACCAGTATATCAGAAAGTATATAGCACCGCAGCAACACGGTTTCATGGCTGAAAAATCGATAAACACAAATCTTTTTTTGTTCAGTAACAATGTATATGAGACTTTTGAACAAAATTTACAGTTGGACACTGTTTTTACGGACTTTCGCAAGGCGTTCGATAAAGTGGACCATGATATATTGCTACAAAAGTTAGGTAAATATGGACTGGCAAGGAATATATTGGAATTGATGAAAAATTATCTGAGAAATAAATATTTTTTCGTCAGACATAATGGTACTGTATCAAGTCAGTTTGGGGCAAATTCTGGAGTACCGCAGGGTTCTAATTTGGGACCATTATTGTTTACAATATTTATCAACGACTTGCCAAGTGTCCTTGTGAACTCTGATTGCTTACTTTTTGCAGATGATCTGAAAGTTTTCAAAAAAGTACAAACGGTAAGGGACTGTGTTGAGTTGCAAAAAGACCTAGATAGCATATTTGAATGGAGCAATAAAAATAGGTTATATTTCAACTTGAATAAATGTGGTATTATAACGATAACTAGAACTAAAGATCCAGTAGTTTTTGAATATGAAATGAATGGAGAAACTTTAGAAAGAAAAAAGGAGATGCGGGATCTCGGTGTAAACTATAATAGCGTTTTTTCTTTTTCCGATCATTTGGAACATGTTCGCAAGTCTGCAAACCGTGTTCTAGGATATATTATAAG